GGGGCAATTTGCATACGGGGTGCTAGTCCCAATAGCTTGCATATTTGGAAATTAACCAAATATGCCGTTGATTTGTTGCAAACTCTGTTAATTTATTTGTTTATTGAATTTATATGGCAATCGAGGGCCGCGTAGGTACATATAAACACATATGGTATAATAAGTGAGTGTATGCAAATTACGTTGCCACCTTTTATAGACATTTATTTCATGTTTGCAGCATGCCAGACATTTGTTTATTTGCCACCGGCCCCTGTCAACATTGTGACAGCAGGCTTACACGCGTAAAAATTTTAATTAGAAAATCTGTAAAAATATATCAAACATTTTCACACATTTTGCGACAGCCCAAGCCTGCGCAAATATGCCAATTGTTTGCTGATTTTTGACAAGGAGCCAATGGAATGTCAAAAATGCTGACAGAATATGGCCAACGATATTTATCATGAGAATTTATTTAGGTTAATGAATATGAATATGAGGTCAAACATAGCAAGAGATGCGGAAATACCTGTTTAAACTATTCAATCCGAACATCGAGGTACTTGCTTTAAACACTTTCACTCGCTGATTAAGTCGATATCCTTGCCAATCATGTCCAGAGTCAATTGGCCAGGAGTCCCTCGACTCATTTTGACGATCAAGTGGTCTGCGATGAGAATTAAGCCCCAGAAGCCAAAAGGTGTGAATCGGTTATCATTGGCGATAAAGGACGTGCCACGCCCCCCCAACACAACCTCAGCGAAATGCCTCCCCTGGGTGACGTACGGATAATATTGCTGATGCTCCTGCGCTGCTGCCACAAAATTCAATCAATATAATTGCAACACTTTAGCAAAGGACTCTGTCAGGATAACACACACGCACACACACACATACAGCAACCTTTTGCCCACACTTGCACACTTGGTAAATGTGTGTGTGTAACCAAGGCAAATTGCGTAAACAATGTAAAGCGTTTCAAATTTATACGTCGGCCCCAAAAACTTGCCCCAAAGGAACCGGCGACAAGAGCAACTGATGACGAGCTAAAAAAGGAGTAAAAGGACCTAAACATAAACCTGCCAATGTGTCTATGTGTGTGTGTGGGGGGGGGGGATAAGTGAGTGGAAAGGTGTATTGGTGAATGGCAGAAAGAGACGACATGCCAGTATTTTCGAGTAGAAGTTTATGCACTTAATTAAGCTCCAGCTACCACAGACCATATACTCGAGTGAAAGAGAAATTTCACTGAAATAAATCTGATTTGAATTAAGAAATGGTACTTAAATATAAACTATTCGAAATTTTAATAGAGATACATTTGTAAAGATACATGGTCGCGATCAATTATACTTTTTCCTGAGAGATTTTGTGATTTGCATTACCTTTTTCATTAACAAATATGATTGTTGTTTAAGGTAGCATAAATTTATTAAAGTCAATTAACCCGCTCAAATTTTAATTTTTTTGCAGTGTAAAATGTATATTCTTTCTTCGTTGTGATCCACATATATTTTTTCTGAGGTGCTTTTGACTTGCAATACCTTTTTCTGTAACAAACATGGTTGGTATTTAAAAAAATTTAAAATTTGTCGCGTTTAAAAATCCAATTTTTTTCAGTGTAAAATGAACAGAAAAGGAGAAGTACACAAAACAACTATGTAGCTTGGCATGAAGACGGAGGTTCTCGAGTACACCCACCTTAAGGTCCCTCGAGCAAAGTTTGCCATTTCGTTGGGTGGGCGGAAAATGTGTCGCTGAATTACTCAAAACTGAAACTCAACTTTTCACCCCCCCACACACACACACACACATAAATGGCGTGGAAAGGATGTGGAAAGTGCGGTGAACTTGTAGCCACAGCTGTGACTTTGAAAATACATTCAATCATTTTCCGAAAGTTTTCCCCGGACATGTATTTTATTTATAGTTTTGCAGCTGAAAGAACTGCCCTTCTTCCGCATTTTTGAATCCAATTAAATTTAAAATTATCAATCAGCCATGCACATTATCAGCTTTGTTTACTTGAAAATAGGGTTAACTGACTAATTTGCTTAATGGTCCCAGGTCACGGTTCGTTTTACGCGTAATTAATACAACCAATTGACATAATTTTTGTGGTTGTCAGCATTAAATTAATTTCATTTTTAGCGAGTAATAATTCTCGCAAAAATTAAAATGCTTATTGCAAGTGTCACACGGAGCAAACAAAATTCTGGTTGATTATTCAACAAAATAAGGTAATTAGCAGGTCAAATAAATTGGAAATTAAACACATACGTAAATTGATTCAAGCAGTGGGGAGATATTTTAATAACATAATATTATAGGCAGTATAATAATACACACAAAGAACTAATGGGTCAAATTGACCAATATAAATGTTATATGGACCCAACCCATCAAATTGTAAATTTTATCTTTAAGATAGTTCCTCTCACAACAAATATCCACAAGTTACTATTTATTGGTAGTTTTACTACTAAATAGTAACCTTTTAATAGTAATCTTATTTTTAATAATTTTATTCGCTAACCTTTTATTATAGTCGCGTAACTATCCGTGTTGGTCATATTTACCCATAACATTTTATGTGTGTATTTTAAAACAATAAAACGAATGCTCAATCAGTAAATGAACAATGAAATAATATTTACATGCAAACAAAATTATTTGGATTCGACAAAAAGGAATGGCAATGGAAAAAAAAAGAAATTCTAATGAAGTTAGTAGATTTTGTATGCACTTTATTCCATTTGCTCGCTGAGCGTTTTTCCCCATGAAACCCCCCATTGCTGATTAGAGAAAGTGAGTCTCACGTACGGCGAGCGTTCGCCTTGAACTCTCTCTCTGTGAAAGTGCTGTTCCTGCCAGTGTTATTATTTCCTTATTCTTATATAAATCCATTTGAAATGCAACTTTTGCGCTAACGCATAAATCTTCAGCACAAATTGCAAACAAGGAGGAGGATCTGAAAAGAAGGCAGCAAAGCGTAGCTGCGAAGCAGTCAAACCATGTGTTGTGCCACTCCACATATACCCCCATATATACCCCATATGGGGATGTGTACTATATAAAAGTGTGTATCCAGATGCTTGTTTGTATATATATTGTCGCAACATCAGTCAGGATTAGTTGTAGAAGTTTACCAGTACCAGGACTAGTGGCCCCCATCTTGTTTGCCATGCTGTAACCGTCACGCAGAACGCTCCAGCATGCTGCCAGTTGTACCGCCCATCGCCTAGCCCACTTGCCCACTTACCCACTTACCACCCCAAAGGAACCACCCAACCACCCAACCACCCACCTCCCAGCCGCTGCTGTTAGCCTTGTCCTTGTGTTGTGTCTTGTCTTGTTGAAGTTTTCTGCACCGACGTTGTTGTAACTGGCTTTGGCTGTTTGTCTTGTCTATTCCCTACGAATGTGTGCCAGGAAAGTTGCTCCCATTCTGTTTGCTTAACTCATTCGCGTTGAAAAGGCTATGGGAATTAGTTAAGCAATTGCGTCGAAAGTTCCACCAAATGTAAAATTGAAATGTTCCATTTAAGCCCGATTCGGAGACATTTAGAATTGGTCGTCTTTGTAAAACATTCCTCGTCTCGGAGTTTAAAGGCCTACTCTCTCTATGATTTGGTATGCAACATAATACAATATTAATCAAAATGCCATGTATATACAACCCTAAACTCTCCAATAGGGTTGGTTAAACAGTTGATAGTGTCGATAATTTCGAAACTTGGTCATTACCGATGGGCACAATATCGATAGTATCACTAAGTAAAACAATCTTTGGTATTTTTGTGAAACAAATAATATTTTAAGGTATATTCAATACCTTTTTAGTTTTCATTTGTTTTTGCCATTTTTTGTTAATGTATAATATTGATACTTTTCCATATTATAATATTATTTTTATCATATTCACTGTCATTTATTTGAGTAGACTCCACATTTTTCGAATTTTCAAAAGACGTACAAGGTTGATTTACAAATTAAATTGCGCTTGTATTACCATAAATCAAATTTTTTCGTAACTTAGCAATTAGCCCTATTTTCCATTGATATACAAACAACTTTCCTGTGTTTAACAAAAAATTTAATTTAAAAAGGACATGAAACCAAATCCATCCTTTAAAGTGCTGTGTGTTAAAACTTAAGCGGAACATAAGAATTAATTAGCTCAAAGAGCTAGTTCATATAACACGAAGCGTTTGTCGCGCTCTTCCCGGCTAATTGTGGACTTGTGCGGGTCGTTTCATTGATTTATGGCTGCTAATTTTAACGCATGGCGTTCAAAGTATTAAATAATAAACTCTATCCCGCCAAGAGGCTCTCGATCCCGCTGTTTTCCCAGTGCCCCGCCATAACTCCGCCCCCAAAATCATCCTCATCAGGACACCCTGCTGAGCTGCAATGTCGGACGAGTTGAGGCGCCATGGAATACGAGACTGTATGGTAAGAGAGGGAGGGGTTTTGGCCGCCTGGCAGACTTTACAAGTGTTTCCCTCGATTTTATGGGCCAGCTCAGAACGGGGCGGGACTTCCCCTTTCCCACGGGTTGTGTAATGAAATTAAAGGCGTAATGCAATACAGCTGGCAAAGTTTTTGCAGCGGTTATTTCCATGAGGCTCTCGTTACTCTTCGCTCTTTTGCCCGCCAGTAGCCGTCGTCGCTTCTCTAGGCAGGCATTAAATTTAATTAATATCTTCCGTTTTTTAACAGACTGCAGTCTTCAAAAATATGATACCATTTTCTTTTGATTCTTTTGGCCTTCAATGCTTAAAGATATTCTTATAAGCTCTCAACAATTATAAGATAATTGTTAAGTATCAAAATATATAAAAATATTATATATTATATTGATTTTGGTATTTTTGGTATTTTAGATTAAAAAAAGTACTTCCGATATTTTTCCATAAAATAGTTTTCTAGTTGGCCATGCTTTTGAATTCATAATCACTTTTGACGTGACAATCAAAAAGGAAAAAAGCGAAGCTCGAACTAGCAAATTTATTAATTTTTATTTTTTTAACGACTCACAATGAATTCAAAAGATATTTTTTCTCTTGGTAAACCCGCCGAAATGGAAAAAACTCGCAGGTATTCATCAAACCCCGAGGATGCCTCCATATCGACTGCCCAACCGGCGGCTACATCAACACCTACTAATTTGATCCGCAAAAGCCCAAGAGTCGCGGTTCTTCGTCGGGAATCCGTAGAGTCAGATTTACGCAATTCTTCGTTGGTAGATCGAGTACCCGAGACTTGGGGACATATTAGGGGCCGTAAAACGATTCGTGCTCCCGATACCCCTGAGAGGGCTCCTCGAACCCGGAATATATCAAGCAGTCCAAAAACCCCACGCACTTCCAAGCAACCGAAGACACCGCGGAGCGCAAAAAGGGTGGCAGGTTTGGTCAAACAAAAATATGCGCATATCAAGGGCCGTAAGCAGATTCAAGCTCCTAGTTCCCCAACAACGGATCCTCAGTCTTCATTAAAGACACCTACAACACCGAAGGGTTCCCCAAAAACTACTACCCCTAAAAAACATCCTGAGTCTTCACCAAAGACACCGCCTCATACATCAAATTCAATGAACTTACGTAGTGGTGACTTACCAGTTCCAAATCTCCTACAATTTGACGCACCAATGGAACCACCAAAGAACCTTGCAAGGACACCAGTTGAATCACTATCGAACACACCAAAAAAGGCGCCGATTAAATCGGCGATGATTTCTCCAACCAATTCTCCGATTCAATCGGCGATGATTTCTCCAACCAATTCTCCGATTCAATTGACCACTAACTTACCAGGAAAGTCGTCAACTGGATCACCGAAAACCCCAACGATGAGTTCGTCAAGGAAGTCATCGATTGAATCCCCGAAATTCTCTCCAATAATATCGCTAAACACGTCGCCGAATCCATCACCAAGGAACTCATCAATTGATTCTCCGAAGTCTTTACCTGAACTGCCGACTAGTTCTCCAAAGAAATCGTCAAGTAAGTCAATAATTAACTTACCAATAATGTTACCGAATAATCTAGATATTTTTACCAAAGCCGATGCCCCAAAAGCTGGTTCCTCTGGAGTGGGCTCCGTTACAACCGGTGCCATCATAGCACCGCCGGACCTTCGAGTTGGGAATAAGCGGACCCTAACATCAAGTGACGCATGCACTTCTGAATCGTCTCCAAAACGGGCTCGTCTCCGTGTACTACAAGTCAACATGGGTTCTCCTTTCTCCATGACTCGCAGCAAGAAAATCAAAAAGGTTGAAGTAGATCAGGATGACGACGAGCAGGTGTCAATCGAGACATCAGCCAATGAAAATCAAGATGGTTTGCCTGAAGTTCTAGCCGAACCGGAGGGGTCCGGGCCAGGATCCGTGATGGATACCCAGATGGATGAACCCGGATTAGAGGCCGGAATGGAGCCTGGTATGCCGCCGGAGATCATCGATGCAATTTCATCCCCTGAAGCGAACGCAAGTTTCTCAATGAAATGCAATGTAATGTAAAGACAACATCTCCATTTTGCGGGCTTTACACTTTCGTTTTAAACTATTAATATACCAAATAAAATCTAAATAGTTTAAAACGGATGATAACATTTTTTATTGTTTAGCAGCAATCTTTAAAGAAACAATATTTAGACCTTTTACTCTCTTTAAAAAAATTACAGACAAGAATTCCCTGAATTTATAGTATACAAGTTTTCCATTTGTCGCGACCCATAACTTATGATATTTTCATTTATTACAGTTCTTGGTTTTGTTTTTTGGTTTTTACAAATAAAGATTATCATTAGGTTGCAGAAGGCCTTTACCAAGTTCCAGGCACAAGCATGATTACATAATCTACACTTTTGCAGACAATAAAGTTCTTTCAGCGCACTTTGTAAGCTGGCAAAATGCACAGAAGTGGCATTATCACGTTGCACACAGCTAATTTGCAAGCAAAGGATGAGGAGGCTATATATATATATATAGTTATAGTTATAGAGCGGCCAAAGAGAAAAGAAAACTGAATTATATTTGCACAATAAACTTGGCAGCCGCCGTCTCTCTATATTATTGTGCTCCCAGTATTTTGTTTGTTTGTGTTTGTATGTTCCCTGGTATCTGTGGGAAATAGTAATAAGATGCAAGCACGCCCAACATTGCTTTTACCCCGCTTTTTCCCTGCCTATCCACCGAATGACACTGTGGAAAATAATTATAATAAAATATGATTTGTTTTTAAGCACAGTTTTAAATCCACCAGAAATAATTCAATATGATTTTAATTAATGCTCATCATAACATAACATTTACAGATTTGTTTTAAGGAATGCATTTATGATAATGATTACTTTTGTAGGCCCATTTCGCTCAGTGTTCATAGAAAATACAGGATAAAAGGAGCCAGGACTGCGGTTCAATGGGTGAAACACTTTTTGGGGTGGGGCGGCTGTTTGCATATAAAGAAATTTGCATGGATTTTGAACGTAATAAGCGAAATGTGACTGCAAAATCCAATTTGTAATGAGAAAAGTAGTGCGAATTGTCTGTGCAAATGTATCTGCATCTGTATCTGTATCTGTGTGTGCGGCAGCTACAAAAATATTGCAGCATATTTCTAGGCGTATTTATGGGTTGCGCTTAGTTTGCCGTCACATAGCGTGATGGGTGTTTAAAGTGGGTTCGGTGTTATGGGCTTGAGGGCGTGGCAGGGGGCTGAGCGCGTGCTAAAATTATGCAATACAATTATGCGAACAGGCCTGCATCTCGGTGTTTGCATGTGTGCAGCTGTGTGTATGTGTGCTCTGCGCCTCGAAACGTGACTTGTTTTTGGTAGGCTTACGCCGGGGATCCCCCAATTTGTTTGCGGCTGCTTCGTGGTGTTTTTCCTCGTTTTTTTCTCGCCATGAAACTACAAAGGGATTTGTTTCGGGACTACGGATAAGTTTTCGGACCATAATGCACAGCTGCACACTGGGAATGAATCCAGGATCCCACAATTCTAAGCACTTTAGATTGTTTTTTAGTACCGCCAGGATGAACACATAAGATATTTCATTGCATACCAATTGTTTTTAAGTCGAAGAGCTAAATCAGTCGTGTTAGATTTATTTTAATTATAAATGACCTATAAAATATTATAACATCGCAAGGGAAAGTCAATGCTGATTTCATATGAAGGAGTTTCTTTAACGCTACCCTCCTAACAATTATTTTGACCCCTAAAAGATATTCTTAGTATTTTCCGTCTTATTTTCTGTGACTGAAAATAAGCTTATACAAAAATACCAGTTATAGTATAAGAAAATTATAAGGACTAAGCTGGGTTATTCATTTCTCCAGCATTTTAGTTTTCAATCTTTCGCTTTGCTAAGATTCAGTTCCCTTTATCAGCCATTAAGTCGTGTCCATTTAAATATAATTTCCTGCACGCGTTGGCAAGTATCCCATAATTCACACGTAGCACAAACAAACTGGTCGGGACCTGTGGTTTTAAAAAGAGGACGGGAAAAGGCCTTCCTGTTTACAATTCATAAGCAATTTCGGACTGGCGACAAGCCGAGGCGAGGCTCCCATGTTGGGAAATCAACCTCTGCACCACACGATTTTTAATTATTTTGTTGCATTTTCATTTCAGTTCTGTGTTTTGTTTTGCTTGCCCAAATAAACAAGGTCCTTTGGTCGCCTGTTTTTCATGGGGAAAAATGTCCTTTTCTTCGCAAGGATGGCAACACACTATCCCAGGCTGTGTATTCTCTTTTGTGTAATTATGATTTTCCTTTTGTTTAGTTCTCTTCTCTTGCCAGACAACACTTCACGGTTTATGTTAATTTTGTTTCTGTCTTCTTTAGTTTAAATTATATAGAGCTTGTCCAGTCTTGGTTTTTTTTTGAGGTCAGTGTATTGTTGCAGCTGGTATGGTTCAGAGGTGTCGTAAAATAAAAATTCATAAATATTTACTGCACGTTTTATTAGTTACCACCTCGTTGATGCCGTTGGCCTAACCCTAGGGTAACTAAAAACCATTTAAATTTCTATACCGTAGTTAGCCCTCTGCATTAAATGTTTTTCCAAAGCTTGAAAGGCAGTGATGTTGGGATCTTTGATCAAAATTAAACCCTGAGTTTTTAAAGGCAGTGTGTGGATTCAAATATGATATATAAGTGATTTTACTGTTTAAAAAATATATTTAAATTTTAAGAGGCTAAATAATAAATCTACCCATTTTTTATTGATCTTCTGTGAATTTAACATGATTTATGTTGATTATTTACAATGGTATATTTATGAAACACTGATAAATTTACTGTGCTATGCTCTAATTATTTAACATATTTAATTGTTTCGAATGAACTAAAATTTTGTCTTATTTATTAAAATAAAGAGACTTAATTTGTTATCGATTGTAAAATGAAATAGTTACCTATGTCATAAATCAATTTATGTCGCCTCGTTGGTCATTACTGCCAACTTAAATCAATCATAAGCACCGTGTGCCCAATTCAGACACCATTTAACATATCCTGGTGAAAATCAAACCCATTGAACCGCAAATGCGATGTCAAGCAATTTCATGCCAGCGGAAATCTTTGAAAGTTAATTTTCAACACACGAGCAAACAGACGAGTCGAGACAGCTACTCAGTTAGGAGCGAGAAAATTGTACGACTTCAACAGACTTCAAAGCGTCAATAAGCAGACAAATATGAGGTGTGTTCGGTGAGGCGGAGGGGGAAGAGGGCAGGGGGAGGGGGAGTTGGTGTTGGCCAGGTGGGCGTGTCCAATGGAAATGGCCCGGCTGTCTGGCAAACAAGCTGACTGATAACGGAAGCTGGCAATGCACGTGTTTACCTCTGGATATTTGCCGGCTTCCATGGAACAGGATGCCCTTGCCACCACCCACTACCTACCCCCCTTGCCTACGTCTCTGTCTGTTTGTCCTGCCGCAGGACGATAATGACGGCACAGCAGAGGACGGGGGGGGAAAAGGCAGGGGCCCTGCTGTCGAGAGGGGCGGCGGAGGGGCTGCACCACCCCCACGCCCACCGCTGCTGATGTCACACATTCATGGTCATTTTGCTGAGTCAATCGTTTGAAAAATTTATGTTGCCTTCAAAAGCAAAATTTGCCATCACCGTCGTTTGATTCTCGGCATTTACCACAAGCACAGTGGAACAATATTATTAAACCAGGCACTTTATCCTCCAATATATTTATACTAAATGCAATTTCTGATGGAATATTACTTAAAAATATAAAAACAACTTCACTAATAAAATAAACATAATAAGTCTAAAAAAAGATATCGAGGATATCATTTAAAGTATTTAAACTTTGACTTTAATATGAATTCATTTTTAAAGACCTTAATTGTTCTAAAAAAGTTTTTTTATTTCAGTAATAATTGCACAATAAATAAATTAATAAAAGTAATCCAAAGAAATTTTAAATACACGATGTTTCATAATGTATGACACATAATGTATCCGGAATAACTTTTATATTTTTAATTCCACAAAATGTTGACTATATATAGACACTGTGCGACAACGAGACAGAAAGAGAGCGGTATATAGCGGGAAAGGGAGGGAGATAGTCAATAGATGCGGTTCATTTAACTTGACTGAATGTGCATCGCCTGCTAACCTGGCTCCATTCGCCTAGTCTCCTTGGCAGTCTGGTCGGATCGGGTTTCGGTCTTTTCGACGATAGCCCCAAACTCAATGCATGTTTATGAAGTGCTGATGTGTGTCTGATTTAATTGAAATTTGATGCACTTTTCAATGTCTGCCACCGAAGTCAGCAATAGTGTTTCATTAGACTTCAGTCATGTTTAACCACTTAATTATGGCACTTTGGGTGAAAACATTTGTTTTCAGTTGACTTGGAAAAGAAGCAAATAGTTTCAATAGCAAATTCAGTGATTAGCATGTCAAGTATATCTCGTATATTTAGTACTTACAATTACAAGTGTTTTAAACACATAACGCTCTAAGGAAATTCCACAATTGATTGGGTATGTTATTGTTGTGTTGGAATAATAAGTTATAAATGTGGCTGAAGGTTATACTTCAAGTATTATCAATGAGTTTTATAATTTTAGTTTTATTTATTAGAACTAGATCTAAGAACAGTTCTTTTAAAAATACAGTTCTTCATTTTCTATTTGTTTATGAGTTTCAAGATAAATTTAAAGATAATTAAAGCTCAATGAAATTTTGATGAACTTATTGCTAAGCTTCCAGCTTCCATTTAAGATTTCCATTTCCCTGGCTAACACCGAGGTATATATATTTTAACCTCCAAAGTGTTTCCATTTTAATGCGCTTAAAGCTGGTCGCGGAACGAAAAAAAAAGGGATGTGGGCAGCCAAGTGTCAGCGACAGCCATGGGCCAAGCAAAACCTAAAAGTTTCCCACAAAACAACAGAACCGGCTATCCACAACCCTTCATAGAATACCCTCTAACTTACTAACAAAAAAAATGCCCCCAGTAAGTAGGGGAGTTGAAGAGAGAAATAGGGAAACGGCGAGTA